TTCTCATCATTGATGTTTCTCTCTCTCACTTCCTCTCTGAAACCAATAAAAATATTTAAAAAAAAAAAAAGGTGGTTACAGGCCTGGTCGGGTGGCTCAGTTGGTTGGTGCATCATCCCATACACCAAAAGAAAAAAAGGTCGCCGGTTGGATTCCTAGTCAGGACACATTCCTAGGTTGCAGGTTCGATCCCCAGTCAGGGCTCGTACAGTAGGTCTCTCTCTCTCTCTCTCTCTCTCTCTCTCTCTCTCTCTCTAAATTCAATTAAAAAAAAACACACAACTTTTTTAAAAATTGTATTAAGTCACCAAGATTTCAGGATTATTGTATTTATAGTACCTAGCCCTACTTATTACCATAGGCGGGGCCTAGGGTTGTTTGCAGCCAAATAGTAGCTTTGTTAAACTTAACTAAATTTCTTTTAAATTTTGTAACAGTACTCAGGGGGTTATTTTTTATTTATTTTCCTTATATTTGGAGAAGCAGTATCAATGATTCTCTCTCATCATTGATGTTTCTATCTCTCTCTCCTTCTCCCTTCCTCTCTAAAATCAATAAAGAAATATGTTTTTAAAAAAACAAAACAGCAACATATCCTCGGGTGAGGATTTTTTTTAAAAACTGGTTACAGCATCAGTTACGGCTCCTCTGAAACGCTTGTCAAAACAAAACTTTTATATTTATTCATGTGAGGACTTGACTAATACCTGTCTCCGTCTCTCACACCCACACACTCCGGAAATTGACCAGATTATAAACTCCACGAGGGCAGGGGCCATGGTGACATATTTTCTTTCCATTTATCTCAACACAGAGAAGAGTGCCACCACACAGTCGGTGCTTACTAAACATCTGTCAGATGGGTGAACAGATGTGGGAATGCATGAATGGAGGAGTAGATGGGCGGGTGAGTGGGTGGGTGGATGGATGGATGGGTGGATAGATGACTAGATGAGTGAATGGATGAGTGGATGGGGGGATAGGGGCTGGGAGGCTGGGGAGATGAATAGATAAGCCAGAGGATGGATGATTGGCCAAATGGATGAATAAATGATTTAATGAATCTGAAATAGCAGGGATCAGGAAAAGGGGTGGAATAGGTAGAAGTCAGATGTTCTAGAGCAGTGATGGCGAACCTTTTGAGCTCGGCATGTCAGCATTTTGAAAAACCCTAACTTAACTCTGGTGCCGTGTCACATAGAGAAATTTTTTGATCTTTGCAACCATAGTAAAACAAAGACTTCTATTTTTGATATTTATTTTATATATTTAAATGCCATTTAACAAAGAAAAATCAACCAAAAAAATAAGTTCGCGTGTCACCTCTGACATGCGTGTCATAGGTTCGCCATCACTGTTCTAGAATTTCTAGATGGTGAAGGTCAGAATTTAGAGAGAGAGGCTGAGGCCTCTGGGGGACTCCCGGGTAGAGGCCCAGGGCCTCCACGAGAGGCTGTAAAGATTCGGCTGGTGGTTGCTGAAACCAGTTTGGCTCAGTGGATAGAGCGTCGGCCTGCGGACTGAAAGGTCCCAGGTTCGATTCCGGTCAAGGGCATGTACCTTGGCATGCGTGTCATAGGTTCGCCATCACTGTTCTAGAATTTCTAGATGGTGAAGGTCAGAATTTAGAGAGAGAGGCTGAGGCCTCTGGGGGACTCCCGGGTAGAGGCCCAGGGCCTCCACGAGAGGCCGTAAAGATCGGGCTGGTGCAGAGAAGCGGGGGGCACCTGAGTGGAGATGGGGGATCACTCACCACATGACCTGGGCGCCTTCTTCCGACACCTCCACGGCCATTTCCACCCGGTCGCCCACAAACACCTGCTGGTCCTCAAGGGGTGTCACAATCAGCACTGGAGGTTCTGTGGGCACAGGGCGGGGGGGGACGACAGGAGGTCAAGTGGTCTCCGGAGCCCCTCCAGACCCCAGTCCCCAAGCCCAGGCCCCAACCCCGGCCTCACCTTTGACGAAGAGCTCAGTGAAACACTTCTCATCGCCGACGGCGACTTCATACGCGGCATCGTCCGCCAACGTGCACTTGTTGATGGTGAGAATTCGCTTCTTACCAACGTTCTCAAACACGTACCTGGTGCAAGAACCTCATCTCGGTCCAGGGCCTGGAGCAGACCCTGGCCCTGGGGTGGAGCCGCCCGCTCAGAGAGAAATTATGTGGGAGGGGGTACACAGTCCAACTTCTTCTTCTTTTTTTGAAAATATATTTCTTTATTGATTTCAGAGAGGGAGCGAGAGATAGAAACATCAATGATGAGAGGGAATCATTGATCGGCAGGCCCCCAACTGGGGACTGAGCCCGCAACCCGGGCATGTGCCCTTGACCAGAATCGAACCTGGGACCCTTCAGTCCACAGGCTGACGCTCTATCCCAGCGGTTCTCAACCTGTGGGTCGCGACCCCTTTGGGGGTCGAACGACCCTTTCACAGGGGTCGCCTAAGACCATCGGAAAACACATATATAATTACATATTGTTTTTGTGATTAATCACTATGCTTTCATTATGTTCAATTTGTAACAATGAGAAGACATCCTGCATATCAGATATTTACATGACGATTCATAACCGTAGCAAAATTACAGTGATGAAGTAGGAACGAAAATAATCTTATGGTTGGGGGTCACCACAACATGAGGAACTGTATTAAAGGGTCGAGGCATGAGGAAGGTTGAGAACCACTGCCCTATCCACTGAGCCAAACTGGCCAGGACCACAGTCCAACTTCTTGTATTTAATAAATACCCACAGAGGAATTGCTGACTGTTAGGCCATACCCATCCTCTCCTTCCCCTTAGCTGCAGCACCCGGCGACCCACCTAGAGAACTACGCTTCCCAGCCTCCTTTGCAGCTGGGAGGGCTGAACCACTGAGCTCGGGCCAGCGGACCTCAGGTGGGGAACACGGTGGATATGATGTGCATATCTGCTATCAGCGGTTCTCAACCTGTGGGTCGCGACCCCTTTGGCGGTCGAATGACCCTTTCACAGGGGTCGCCTAAGACCATCCTGCCTATCAGATATTTACATTACGATGCATAACAGTAGCAACATTACAGTTATGAAGTAGCAACGAAAATAATTTTATGGTTGGGGGTCACCACAACATGAGGAACTGTATTTAAAGGGCCAGAAGGTTGAGAACCACTGTGCTAGGTCATCTCCAATTTTGAGTGCCTGCTGTGGACTTCTCTCCTTCCCTCCTTCCTTCCTCCAGACACAGACGTGCCTACGACCCAGCTTCAACCATACAGATGGTGTAGCCAGAAATATGGAAACTCGGATGCCGAAAAGTCTGTAAGAAAAGAGCTGGTCCCCCTACCTCCACCAACTAGAAATACAACCCCAATTAAAGTCATGTGTTCTAGGGACTCTGTTACAGCAACTTAACCTGCACCATCACTAACGAAAGTTTTTATCTTACCCCAAATGCTCATGGTGACAAATTGAGAAAACACAGCCAAGGGGAAAAAAATCACTTTAAAAAAGAACCCATGTAGCCCTGGCCAGTGTGGCTCAGCTGGCTGGGTGCTGTCCCACATACTGAAGGTTCAATTCCTGATCAGGGCACATGCCCGCGTTTCGGTCTTGATCCCCAGTAGGGGGCATGCAGGAGGCAGCTGATGGATGTTTCTCTCTCACATGGATGTTTTTCTCTCTCCCTCTCCCTTCCTCTCTCTCTAAAAACTAATTAAAAACAAAAAAAAAAACCAAAAAAAAAAAAAAAAAAAAAAAGGACCCATCCATAACTGTCCCACCAAATGCAAACATTTTGGCCTCTGTCTTGCCAATCTTTTTATCTATACACTAGATGCCCGGTGCACAAATTTGTGCACTGGTGGGGTCCCTTGGCCTGGCTGGTGATCGGGGCCATGAGGGCCACAGGAGGTTGGCTGTGGGAGCGCACTGACCACCAGGGGCAGCTCCTGTATTGAGCGTCTGCCCCCAGGTGGTCAGTGCACGTCATAGTGACTGGTCAACTTTGGTTGCAATGGTCACTTAGGCTTTCATATATATATATAGACTAGGGGCCTGGTGCACAAAATTTGTGCACTGGGGGGTTGTCCCTCAGCCCAGCCTGCACCCTCTCCAATCTGGGACCCCTCAGGGGATGTCCCTGTGGGATCGGACCTAAACCAGCAGATGGACATCCTCTCACAATCCGGGACTGCTGGCTCCCAACTGCTCGCCTGCCTGCCTGCCTGCCTGATTGCCCCTAACCGCTTCTGCCTGCCAGCCTGATCACCCCTTAACCACTCCCCTGCCAGCCTGATCGACGCCTAACTGCTCCCCTGCCAGCCTGATCACCCCCAACTGCCCTCCCCTGCCGGTCCGGTTGCCACAAACTGCCCTCCCCTGCCGGCCTAGTCACCCCTAAATGCCCTCCTCTGCCAGTCTGGTTGCCCCCAACTACCCTCCCCTGCCAGGCATCTTGTGGTGGCCATCTTTGACCACATGGGGGCGGCCATCTTTTGTGCGAGGGTGTGGTGGTCAACTTGCATATTACCTCTTTATTATATAGGATATGCAAATAACATTTTGTGAAGCAGATGGGAAGTGTGCTTCTGCACACAATAATCTTAAACAGCTCTCCCAGTCAGCATGTATTTTAGAATATCTTTACAGCACCTGAGCACAGAATTGTACATTTTGGTTGTTTTCCATGTTTTGCTACAATAGCCAATACTTAGGTCAGCATCCTGGCAGCTACATAACATAACCATGATGGCTCCCTTAAGATAAATACCTAAAATTGAACCATCAAAATGGTTTTTTTGTATCTTTTTAAAAATATATTTTTATCGATTTCAGAGAGGAAGGGAGAGGGGAGAGAGAGATAGAAACATCAATGATGAGAGAGAATCATTGATCAGCTGCCTCCTGAACGGCCCCTACTGAGGATCGAGCTCACACCCCGGGCATGTGCCCCTGACCAGGAATCAAACCCGGGACCCTTCAGTCTGCAGGCCGACGCTCTATCCACTGAGCCAAACCGGGTAGGGCTGATTGGCATTATTACCGTTATTGTTGTTCTTACCATTTGCAAGACTGAATGTGTACTTCACAGCACACTGGCCATTTGGGTTTCTTCTCAACGGAATTCCTGGTCTCCAGTGCTTTTATCTAGTCTTCTACTGAGGTACTTGGACTTTTCCCATGGGGGAGGGAGTGCCCTTTCTGGGTTCAGAGTGGCTGGCCTTATTTCAGGGGGTTCTCTCTGGGCCCCAGATCCCCGCCCCACCCCACCCCACTCAGAGACGGCCACACGCACGTACTTGCTACCCGGCTTGATCTCCTGGCCGTTCTTGTACCACTTGAGGGGAAGGTCTGGGTCACTGATCTCCACCACCAGCTTGATCTTGTTGCCTCTGTCCACTTGGTAGGCTGGGTCCAGCTTCTTTGTGAAGGCTGGAGGGCAAGGGATGCAGGGCGGGTGGAGCTAAGAGGTCCTCCCTGCCCTGGTCATCCCAGAGCTGCCAAGTCTCCCTCCCCAGACCATGAGCTCTCCAAGGTCAAAAAGAGGTCAAGGTCAAGGTCAAGAGCTTGGAGGTCCCTGAGAAGATGGGTCCGGGGTCCCAACATCTGATACCCACGATGCCGCGGTTCTTATGGGCAGGGCCCCTCTCCCTCAGGCCGGTACTGACCTTCACTCTTCTTGACCTCGACCTTGGCCTTCTTGAGCCGCTTCAGCATGCCCCGGAGGTCGGTGATTCCATACTGGAAGGCGATCTTCTCATACTCGCTCTTCTTTGCCCCTTTCAGGAGCTCCCAAATCTCAGGCGGGATGCCCAGGTCATCATCGTCCTTCTTCTTCTTCTTCTCCTTCTCCTGCTCAACCACCTCCCTGAGGGCGGGGAGAGCAGGCCAGGCCACCGCGGGGTCTCCCTCCGCCTTCTCCGCCCACTTGCTGGGTGCCTTGCCCGGGCCACTTTCTGTCTCTGGGCCTGTGACCCTTTCTTCTCTCCCTCCTGGACCATCACCCCAGCCTCCTCCCTGGTCTCCTGGCCTCCATCCTGTCTGTCCCCCTGCAGTCTGCCCCCCACCTTGCCCCAGGGGGACAGTTCTGACCCCCACATCAGATGCCATCCCTTCCCTGTTCGGAACTGGGTGGCTCAGTGTAACGGCAGGTGGACAGAAGGGCAGGCGGGGAGACGGCGGGTGGGTAAATGGACATGTGGGTAGAGGGATGGGCAAAGGGCAGGTAGGTAGGTAGATGGATTAGTCCATGGGTCAGTAGGGAGCTGGCTGGATGGGCGGGTGAGATTGGCAGGTGGTGGGTGGGCACATGGCTGCATAGGTGTTGGATTGGGTGAACAAGTGGATGAGAAGGAGCCAGAGTGGGTAGGAAAGTGGAGGTGAGGGTGGAGGGTTAAAAGGTGTGTAGGGAGGTGAACTGGCGGGCAGACGTTGGGTGGCTGGTGGGCGGGCAGTGAGGGGATGGAGGCGGTGGTGGAGGGCCGGGCAGGGAGTCCATAGATGGCCTCACCCCCCCCCTCCTCCTCCATGAGCCTCCGTCTTCTCTCTGCCAGGAGGGGTGGACTCACCTCTTCTTCAACAGGCCGCTGAAATCCAGCTCGCCCGCGTCTTCGGACTTCCCTTCACCCCTGCGGCCGTGGAGAGGGGGGCGTGAACTCCTGAGGTCCCCCCAGGCTCACCTTGGGTCCCCACTCCTTGCCTTCCCCGATCCTCCCTTCTCCCAAGGGGAACCCCAGGGTCCAGGGTCACTTACGAGCGCTTGAATTCTTCTAGGACCGGCCCCGCGGAGTCCTGAGTCGCTGGGGAGAGGCAAAGGGGGGAGAGAAGGTGAGCTGGAGGCACGTCCTGACCGCAGACCAAGAGCAGCCTGCAGGGCCCCTGCCACCCTCTCTGGGC